CTGCTGATCTAGCAGTAGCCTGCAGTGCTGCATTTAACCACTGCGCCACCTTGGCTCTTAGATTGATTAGATGTAATCAATCATGTACATTGCTTTGGAATTGAGAGAGTCCTTCCCTAAGTCATGCTTTTGACAAATGAGAGGCAGGACTACAGTAAGTTTTATTTTGACCTATGTAGGTTTCTCCCATAGTTTAGACAAGACTGATAACCTGCTAAGTTTACAATACTAGTTAATGCATGATACAGCAGTTCTTAAGAGCATGATGTGTCAATTAAAACTGCAAGCACTTGTCTTTTCACATCCTCATGAATCAAGATCTGCATACTAATCCAATATTTAATTGATTGTGGACTATTACTTCTTGAATTTGTTTCTCTTTACTTTCGTTCCTCATCACGAACAGTTTAATGTGTTTCTAAAAACACGCATTTACATTCCTTGAAGTTTATTCCTTTACTAAAAAGCACCCAAGATTTTGCCCATTTCTCTTTAAGATAGCTCTGATTTTCAGTTCCAGCCTTTAGCATGTGCTCTGCATGGCCATGAATGCTTGTTATCTATTTCTAATAGCTTTGCCCAGAATTTCCAGAAGCAAAAGCTGCTGCTAAAATGCAGTACTCATTCCAGCTATTGGAAATGCCAGTCAAGGTTATAAAGTGACAAAGCACCTTGTTAAAGCAATTCATGGTGCTATTTTGCCTTGACACGAACTATGTTGTCTCTGTAAAACAAAGTTTCTCATTAAAGTAAATCCTACTCATTTCAACCTGGGCTAACATTTAATCAAAATGCCTTTGTTCTTCCACTGTAAGTGTAAATTTTATATAATAAAATTTAATAAAATAAATTAAAGAGACAGCATCCAGAAAATAAACAGAACCAAAATATGTGTCCTGTAATATTTAGTAAGTCAGCTCTGTTCAAGATAGGCAAGGTTAAGTAACAAAATCTTGACGTATGGATTCCTTGGTGTCTGAGTACCTAAAACTCCACAATCGAGCCCTGAGCTAGAGACAGCTTCTTCAGTTAGAATGATGAAAGCCTGTCAGAATGTTATACTAAATAAAATCAAGGCAGGGTTATTCTGAGTTTCTTTCTCACACTTTCCACTTTATTAGAACTCTTTTCTACTCCCCTAACACTTCATTGCTTCCTCCCTAAGGTCAGATCACATTCTTTTACATAATGTGGGATGGAACCATCGCCTTGTAATGATTAAATTATAATAATGAAGTGTAGTGCAGTGTAATGTGTTTAAGTGTAGTGTAGTTAAGATTAAGTGTGGTGCAATGTAGTGATTAAGACTAGACGTAGGACCCCATGAAATGCATACAACAAGTTTAAAGCACCTTAGAAATAGATGAAAAGCCAAAGGCCCGCAGAGCTTAGGGCAGGAGCACTGGCTAGGGCTTTGCTCTAGGATCTTGGGATGGCTGACTGCGGTGTTAGGGTTGCGGCTGTACTACTCAGCAGCAAATGCCTGGATGTGTGAGCAGCCAGCTGAGACAGGGCAGCCAATAGGACAGAAAAGTGGGGGGTGGGAGGAGGAAACAGATGCACAGGGGAAGTTGAAGAGGAAGCAAAGGAGGTAGTCTCTACCTTACCAAAGCTTGGCTTGGTTCAGGATGGGTCCTAACCTAGTGGCCAATGGAATTTGGTTAACAATCACAACTGAGACGTCTTGGGTTAGGGTTAGAATTGCTGGTGTCATTAGAGGATACTCTACTAAACCAGATAGGCTTGTATTCTGAAGGAAACACCCCAATCTGTTCTTAGAAAAATGTTATTTCTTGGCCAAATTACATATTATAGTAAATATGCAGCACAATACAAGGTTGTCTTCTAATTTGTTTCTGCTGGAGGCATTGGGGAGACAATTACAGTGCACAGGGAAGGGAGGTCCCCGGTCCCCAATTCCAGCTGAAAAATAACTCCTTTGCACAGTTTGAAGCCACAGAAAAATGTTTCTATTAGCAACACTTTTCTTCGGTTGGTAGCCATGGAGGCCTCTGTGACATTTAAAGGGTAAATGTCTCTTGCTCTTGCACTGCAATTCCTCAAAAAAAAAAAAACCCACCTGTTTCTTAGACATTATTTTAAAAAATAAATAAAGAGAAGGCAAGAAAGTTTGCCATAGAGTTAGCATAGCACAAAAGTTGACCCTGGAAAGAAATCTGGAAAACAAAATGACGCATAACACCACATCAACTATTGGGAGGGGAACTTACAAAGCTCTTAAATTTCACTCTTTGGAATATATGTGGATGATAATGATGGGAGCACTCTTCCTTCTGAAAGACATTGCAATAGTATATAAGAAGAATAAAAAATAGTTGAATAAATTAACAATTAAAACATGACAACGAAAATACAAAAAATTAAAATTCCATTGATGTTTTTAAAAAGACCTTCAAAAATCTGATCTAGGCATAGTTTTTATCCTACAAAATTCAGGATTATGTGGGCTTCTGCAGGGTTGTTCCCTCCCCTGAAAAAACTTTGAATTTTGTGGCCTTCCTATGCTGGTTGGGGAATTCTGGGAGTTGAAGTCCACACACCTTAAACTTGCCAAGTTTCAAAAACACTGGGCTATAGGATTATACTGATTTCCCTCCCCTCCCCCCAAAAGTACTTGTATTTTGTATTTGTATTTTTTAGTTTGTCAAACATGTACAAGATAGCAAGTATAAATATAAACATAGATATAAAGAAATGAATACAAATAGATGAGGATAGTAGGACAGGGACGGTAGAAATACTGGTGTGCTTATGCATTCCCCCTTTACGGACCTCTTAGGAATGGGATAAGGTCTATGGTAGACAGTTGAAGGTTACAGTTATGGGGGTTAGAGGAAGTAACATGGAGTAGAGCATTCCATGCATTGACCACTCTATTGTTGAAGTCATATTTACTCCTATAGGTAAATAAATAGTAAGGCTGCAGTTAACATTGTTTCTTTCCTCCCTTTCACAGGTGAAAGAGCTGAATGTGGAACAACTAGGTAAGTGGAACTCTTGGTTTTTCTATTTTATTTCGGTGATTGGTTGCTACTCCTTCTATAACAAGGCTGTCAAACTCACAGCCCGCAGGCTGGATGTGTCATGCGCTGGCCACGCCCATGCCCAGCTTAGTGAAAGAGGGAAAAAAAGTCACAATACGTCACGTGATGCTACCATGACAACACGAGTTTGACACCCCTGTTCTATAAGGAGGACTGACTATTTAAAACCCACCTGCTTCAAATTTATAAAAATCTTCCAAGCATGAGCTATAAGGGGGAGAAAATGGCAACTCTCTCCCTGCAAGAGTGGCTTACTTCTGGCTACGGTTACTCAAATAGATTAATTAGAAGGACAACGGAAAAAGCCTGTTGTATTTGCTGCAGTGGCAATTTCCAGCTGACTGGCTCTGAAATCACATAAGGCTCTGTCAGCAGAGAGTACTGCAGAGGCTTCTTGGATGTATCAGCATTTATTCATCTACTTGTAATAGTGACCAGCATATTTAGCCAAACTGGGATTCTTTCCTTTGCTAGTTAATATATGCTCTGGGACAAATTCCTAAAGCTGCCTGGAGTCACAGTGAGTAAAATGGGAGGCTATGTAAACTACATTTAATCAATAAAATTTAAAAATAAATTTAAATCCCCAGATATGGGATTTATTTCCAGATCATGATATATGATGGTTTCTAAACCATTCTTTTCTCTATAATAAAGAGGGTGAAAAATAGGCATTAGGAATAAGAATAAATTTTGAATTCCCATAAGAAAGGAGAGCAAGGGGAGGGGGAAAGACAGAAGAAATTTAGAAAAAAATAAGCACAATTGACAAAAGACATTGACAAAAGTGAGCTGCTCTCAGAAATTAATAGGAGAGCAACTTATGATTCAGTTAAGTATTAAAAGGTAATTTAGAAGCAGTTGGCTGTAGTGATAAAAAAGCAGTTATTGAAGAATTGAATGGGTTTCATATGAGTTAAGCTACCCACAGCTGATTTATGCATTCATGGCTGTATAATAATAGCTACTGCTAAATTGGGAATTGATTAGCTCGCATTTTCATGCAAATACACCAATAATGGGGAATCATTAACTCAAATGATCATTTATATTTTCAGCTAAAGGAAAGATTTCCAAATTTTTTTGATCTACATAATACGTGGGCATAAAAAAGTAGCCATTCAAGTACAGAAAAACAGTTTGACTAGACCTAGCAGGTGGACTAATTCTAAATTTTCTCACTGAAAGATAGAAAAGAGAGAGAGAGGATAATAGTTACCAACTATATGGTAGAAGAAGGTGCAAGGAAATATGTACAGACTCTTAAGTTTATAATGAATACAAGATATTTAATTTCCTGAATGCAGAAACCATACAGAAGACCCTCCTAGTAGCTCAGTTATTTTGATTGAAATGTAGGGAAATTCAAATTTACCTAGCTCGTTTTACCTAAACTGGTACCAATGATAGGTTCCTACTGATTTGGACAGGTTCAGTCGAACCGGTAGTAGCTCAGTGACCTGGGTCACTGGAACCAGCAGCGACTCAGGCCTGCCACGCTCCAAACCAGTTCTCCCAGCGGCGGCACCATCTTGTTGTTTTGCTTCTGTGCGCAGAACAATTTTAATTGTACTGCCCAGGCACATGTGCACTTGTGGTGAGTTCCTGAGCAAACCAACAGTAGCTTCTGCTGGAACACTATTGTCTAAAAAGGATAAACAATTCCAGCTAGCTTCTTCTGTTGAGAAGGCCAAATGGATCAAGTTAAATAATGTGGATATAATGGGCGGGGGGAACCCCAGTCATTTCAAGTTTGTTTCAGTTCTTAATAAGTTGTTTCTCATAAGCATTGCTCCTCTATGCTTCCTTCATCAGAACCACTTTTACCAAAACCCAAAATATTCATGGATAATATATTCTATCCGGCACTTAAAGTATTGGTAGTTAATGTCTTAATGTAAATGGATCCAGGTCTCGGACTTTGGTTTGCTCATTTCTTAATGTGCTTTTATGCTAACAAAATCAAAATGTTGAGTCAAGGTACCTGCCTCTAATTCTTAATCAAAGTACAGAGCACTAGGACACTTCAACCAGCTACATGAAGATACTGAGAAATAGGACAAAAAAACCAAGCCAGCATTTATTTGGTATTTTCTTGGGAGCCTTGAGTACTATATTCCTTAAAGGAGGTATAAAATCAATATAGAGAAGGAATAATAATTTCTGACCCACAGATTGGATCCAAAGAGAGATTTATCTGAACACACTTAAATTTAAGTGCAGTATGATTCCTTCCCAAAGAAATTGAGTGTGCTCAGTGGCTAAGACACTGAGCTTGTTGATCAGAAAGGTTGGCAGTTCAGCGGTTCAAATCCCTAGTACTGCATAACGGAGTGAGCTCCTGTTACTTGTCCCAGCTTCTACCAACCTAGCAGTTTGAAGGCATGTAAAAATGCAAGTAGAAAAATAGGAACCACCTTTGGTGGGAAGGTAACAGCGTTCCATGCGCCTTCGGCATTTAGTCATGCTGGCCACATGACCACAGAGACGTTTTTGGACAGTCCTCGCTCTTCGGCTTTGAAACAGAGATGAGCACTATCCCCTAGAATTGGGAGTGATTAGCAAATATGTACCTTTACCTTACTGTTTAGAGCTCCCTAGTACACTCATATGAAAAAATTCTATATGAAAAGGACATGCTAGGTTGAAAATCTTGCTTACTTTCTTAGTTTCTTTTTGAACAATTTTTTAAGCCATGAAAGTTCACTCCTGCTCCAAGATTTGCGGATAGTAAGATCATTTTGTCTGTTTGTCTTGCTTCCTCTTCTCTTAATATACATAGCACATGCCTCAAAGTGCTGTTGAAAGCTGCTCATTCTGGCCCAGCCTGTATACTCATTCAAAGATCTGTATGTTTTCTGCCAAGGAAGGAGATACAAGCATATGGCTCCAGAACTCCCAAATAAATGCAGTTCTTCTTTTTAGCTCAGTTTGCAATCATAAAGAAAAAGGAAGAACAATAGATTGTGAGGTCTGACACCCAATGCAGCAAAAGAATCAGAAAGAATTTAAAAACAATAACAAAAACAACAATAAAGCTTCATTGTTTAATGCCCCATGCAGGATTAGCAAAGAATTGAACTGTTTTAATAATGGAAGAATAGATAGCTTTTAGAAACCAGACACCTTCAAATGTGGATTTTTTTCTCTAAATCTACAAGAATTCAGGATTATGAAGTGGTTGGTCAATTCAAATTGTAGTATAAGTGTCATATTAACTGTATGCATGTGGATTTTTTTTAAAATTTGGAGAGGCAATTCTAAGAAACCCTTTTAATTTGTACTAGGTCGGCCCTTTGTAGTGAAGGATAATAGTGGATTAAGAAAAGCTGACGTTTGTGTAAACATTTAAAAAGCTAGGATCCTGGTGGCATAAGACCTTAGAATCTTTTCAAGGAAGAGAACATTTGCTCTTACCTCCCATCTTATTTTAAATATTGTTTTGTCCCGCTTAAAGTGAACTACATTGTAAATAGAAGTTTCCTAATAGCAATATGTAAGCAATTTGCCAACCCTCTTCCTCCAAAGTAAGGAAGCTGGCCGATGTATCCTTAAGATTCAGGGGGAGCTCTTCTCGGCTTCGGGATTTAAATGACATACTTTTGAAAAGGATATCAAGGTCCATGAAAGCAATGGGCTCCCCTTCACAGAGGCTTCCCTGGGTCTCCCTTTTGCAATCTTGGAGCTCTTTCCCTGCCGTTGTATTCACACTGATGTTTTATGATTTCTTTTGTTCCATTTTCCCAGGCCCCCCTGTCTTCCCCCTAAGCCACAGAAAATGAGGAGACCTAGGCCTCTCTCAGTCTATAATCATAAACTCTTTAACGGCAATATGGAAACATTCATTAAGGTATTGGCTGTTTAACAGTAAGAGTCTGTGAACACTGTGGATGTAATGGTAGCATTTTCCTTTTCTAACCACTGACCTGTTTCCTTTCCTTGGACCCGGCCTTTCCCAAGCGCTGCACATCACACCATGAAAATGGTTGGTATGCTATCTCTCTCTCTCTCTCTTTCTCTCAGGGACAAAGTCTGCTGGTGCCACACTCGAACTAGTAAAGGACACACTTTACTCTTGGTGTTCTGTACTTTTGTTTATGCAAAGGGAAAAGATGAGGTAATAAGAAAGATTTTTCTGGAACAAAATGTTAGGATAGCTCCTTTGTTCCTGCCAGCAGGCTAATATCTTGTTACTACAGGCTGAACTACCCTGGTTCTTTGAAGCTTGGGGTTTATACAGACATCCTGAAATTTAAATGTAGCATGATTTCCTCTCTTAGGAAAATATTTCCTGCAAACCAAAGTTAAAATAAAAAGTGGCGTTTACATGAATTCCTGGGTTTTATTCAGTATTTACCAAATTCGTGTATCTGCTCTTCATGTAGCTTATCTAGGCAACTACTAAAGCAAATATAAAATTTAAATTACAGCAGTAATTGATAAAGAAATAATGTGATAATTAAAACTTGCCTATAAAACAAAGAGTGTTAGATCATAAAATATAAACTCTTAAAAATCTACATTAATAAGTAAGTCTTCATTTGGGGCTGGGAAAGTGGTGCCACAGGAACCTTTGCTGAAATGGTTCTTCATCTAATTTTTATCTCATTTAGCAAGCTTAGAAAAATATAGTGAAGTATAATGCTAGTGAAAATGCTTTTAATTTCCAATCCTTCACAGATTAGAGATGGGAGGGAACCTGATAGGCATCTAAATTCTCAAAACGCAATAACTGAGTCTATTGGTCTCAATTGTTTTATTGAGACCAATATCCTTATCCTTAGATTTGCTAAAATTCAGGAATACTGCACAATTCAGGAAGGGGTCCAATCTTACCCATTTACTTAAAATCGGTAGCCACTAAGTTCAGCAGAAAGAATCAAGCAAAATGAAGGGGGATCGAATTTCTGGACGAAAAAAAGCAGATGATTAAATACCACAATTCAGTCTTGCCACAGTGGCGTAGCTTGGTCTGCTTCCAACAGAAGTGCCACATTGGGAATACATATTGGAGCTGCAGATAGTTCTCAAAATAATTTGGACAACCTCCAGCTTTTTCTTTAAAAAAAAAAGAATAATCTGCAGTGCATACAATAAAAGAGGTAAACCTACATCATTAAACACTTTTAATATTGACATTAACATCAAAACCAAAAAGTAAAAACATTTTCACATGCAAGGAAGTCAAGACAGTCCAGCAAAAGAAGAGGGGGAAAGCATTTTAAGAAATACAGAATACTAAAGCAGCAATAGCAATAGCACTTAGACTGATATATCGCTTCATAGTGCTTTTACAGCCCTCTCCAAACCATGCACAGAGTCAGCATATCGCTCCCAACAATCTGGGTCCTTACTTTACCCAACTTGGTAAATGAAAGGCTGAGTTAACCTTGAGCCTGGTGAGATTCGATCTACCAAACATCTGGCAGCCGGTGATCAGCAGAAGTAGCCTGCAGTACTGCACTCTAACCACGGCTCACTATGGCCATCAAATTGAGGTATTCCCCTGCATGCAAAAGACAAGAATTCCAGGTTTGGCCAAGAGAGTTACGTAAATTAAATGAACTGGGCGATGGAAGTGTAGGAAAAACTCCACGTGGGAAAAAGGGAAAATAGCAAGAAGAGTCTGAGAGTCCATTGCCGAAGCAGAGTAATTGCATACCAAGCAGTTCTATGGGTGTTGGACGGAGCCTGAACTACTGTAGTTCCTTCTAAGCTGCCATTGCATTTGAGCTTTCATAGCCTCTGGAAAATATGCTTACCCTAACTGTTCTTACTCTTGCTTAACCTTTTCTTTTCTCCCCTACTTTGCTGCTTTATTTGCTTATCAGAGGAAGAAGGAATGCTCGAACAAGAAATCAGGTACTGACTAGAGGCCCCCCTATCTAGAAAAATATGTGTGTTGCTTATTATAAGAAGATGCTATGGGTTCAAGGGACCTATTTAGGAGATCCCTTCATTGAAGGAGAAAGAAGAATGAATACAAAAAGTCAAAGTTCACGAGAGGATAACTTTTTCCCAAACCCATTCATACACATAGATAAAATATACAAGGTTCTGCAGAGCTCTTTAAAACTGGTTTTGTGGAAAGCCAAAAAATTGTTGGAAGATTTAGTATGCTAAATGGGAAAGCATTAGTGTAGCTTAGCCGTGGTCTGGTTTGGCTCATAACTTTGATCCAGATGCCTCAATTTGGTTATCAAGATTCGGCTTCTTGGGAACATTGCCAAATTAAGTTCCTTACAGTGGACAGTATAAAGGATGTTGCAGATTACTGTTTGATAGCTCACATATTTTAATTTCTTGCTAACTCAGTGACTGAACTAACAGAGCTCATTTTTCAACCTGCAATTTTGCTTGAGTGTGCTTCATGAAACCACCGTTCTTATCAGATCAATATACCTAAATCAATATATTCATATTTTTTTTAAAAAAATGCTATTTCTTTCCCAAGGATTCGGGACAGGCAATTCCACTTGTGGTTGAAAGTTGCATCCGTTATATTAATTTATATGGTAAGTTGAATTGCTCCCCTCCACATTGGCTTCAAGATTTTCTTTTAAGGTTTCCAGCACAAGAATGTGTCTCCACTAAAATGCAAAATGATATGTCAGCTTATTTGACTAATGACATGGGACTCAGCCATTGTTATATTCAATTAATAAATGCTTGTCTTAAACAGAAAACAAAATACTTTCTGAATGACAAATGGTTGGATGTGGAATTGTGCTCATTGACCAAATTATTTGCCTGGACATTTTGACTGAAATCCAGTGAACAATTCCTTCTCCCTCCACTGCTGATGACTGATTTTTTTTCATTTTCTTCTAGTATGAGCTAGACGGTAGCAGGGTTTTGGTCAGTAATGATGAATCTGTTAGGCTCAGAAAAATTCAGAAAATGCCTAATTTCACTCTGCTGACATGTCATCTCTTCCCCTTAAAAACAGAAACAGTTCATAACAGAGAGTCACTTTGGATAGTGATATGGGTGGCATATAAATTTAATAAATAAATGCTTACATAATTGTAAATATGTTTCAATTTGTCTTACTTGAGACAGCTCCAGAGATCTGGAAACTTTGGAAAATGCTCTTAGGTGGCCTTGCCGGCCACATAAGAACAGAAAAGCATGCCCCATTCTTGTGCTCTTTGGAGATTCCAGAGGCTGTGTGAGAACACATCACATTCTTGTTATGGCCTCTGGAATCTCCAAAAATCCACGAGAATTTTCTGCCCTTTTGAGAGGCTGCATGAGAATGTGGTGCAGTCTCTGGAGCTACCCAAAAAATCATGCAAGAACATTCTTGCACAATTTTCAGAGGCTTCAGAGGCTTCAAAGGCTGAGAGCAAAGTCCTCTTGAACAACTTCCAGATGCTCTGGATCAGGTGGTATAAACTTACCTTCCCTACCGGTTCGCAAATGTCCACACATGCTCTCAGCCTTCCACACATGCGCTTTGGCTAAAAAAGATGCCTAAATGGGACAGCATAGAGCCAGGGCGGGTGGACTCACCCGCGATTTCCAACTACCAGTTCGGGTGAACCAGTCTAAACCGGCAGAATACCACCTCTGTTCTGGATGCTACACAAGCATACACAAAATTATGCAGCCTCTACGCGTGTCACCAAAACTGATATGACACGTCAGTTGTGACACTCATGTCATAGGTTCACCACCATTGCTTTAGGCCATATTGGGCTTACTTAAATTCTTGTCTGTCACCATAAATCCTCCTCTCCTTCTCCCCATGAACAGGGACTAAATCAGCAAAAGGTTGCACTGAAGCTGTAGTAGAATGGGCAAAGTTATAGTCAATTGTTTCCATGCAAGAATTTGCAGAATCATTCTAGTTTCCTTTGTGTCAAAGCAGGAGAATTGTAAACCAGGTTTGACCACCTAAGCCTTCTCCACCATCTGAGTTTATCTTATGTGCTCAAACATATCAAAACAAAGTGCATAGATAGGATTACAGGGAATTCAATGATTTATTTATGGATGTATGAGCAAAACAATTACATATAAAAATGATAAGGGGTGATCTATAAGTAGATTTGAGTCAATGAACTTATTTGTGTGGCTTCCCCCACCTCCAACTGTTATTGGTATCCTATAAGTAAAATATATATTTGGAATACCTAAATGTGAAAGTAACTAAAATGATTGGGGATTGATTTCAAATAGTTTACTAAGCTTTCTTTTGAAAATACATATTTTTTCACTTCAGGTTTACAACAACAGGGTATTTTTAGAGTTCCTGGATCTCAGGTTGAAGTCAATGATATCAAAAACTCATTTGAAAGAGGTATGTAATTAGTTGGTCATTCTTGCAAAGTGATTTGCTGTTATTTTATTTAACATGTACTTATTAGAATACATATACAGTCTGAATTCTGTCTCTCTTTTCTCCATATGTGATCATGGACATTCTTTTGAGCTTCCTCCATCCCATAGTTATACTTGTCTGTGGAGATCAGTCATCCAGGTCATGGTTGCCCCAAAGGTGCTTTTTCAAAGGGCAGCTCAGGTTTTTTTTATTTTTCTTAAAAGACATTTTGCTTCTCATCCAAGAAGCTTTTTCAGTTCTGAAGAAGCTTTTTGGATGAGAAAAAACAAAGTCCAACTGTCTTTTGAGAAAAGCACCTTGGGACATAGTTAGCATTGTTATATATAAGCATTTGGGATGTGTTGCAAGATTTTATTACACTGCTTCATAAAGCTAAAGAATTTTATGATTTTTTGCCCATTCTTTATTAAAGACACAATTACATCACAAATCATATTAGGAGATACGAATGTCTGAGAATTTTTGCATGCATATGATGCAACCTCATTGGCTAAGAACCCAAATACTTTGCAATTAATATTAGATTTCTTGTATGAGTCACAAGAGTATGAATCTGAAGTTTAATATAACAAAATCAAAATGGAAACATTAGAAAAATAAAGGAATTTGTGTATCTTGATAGAAAGTTGATTAAAGGTGGAAAAGTCTTTGGGGAAACATTAAGACATAAAAATGTTGATAGAAAAGTTAGGGGTCTGTTGGAGACAATGAAGTCTATGACAAGGGAGAACTTTTGATTGGAAGGGCATGATTCTTTTATTGCACAGAAATAAGACATGGTTAAATTGAATGTTGGGAAATGTGGTGGCTCAGTGGCTGAAACACTGAGTTTGTCAATCAGAAAGTTTGGTAGTTCAGCAGTTCGAATCCCTAGCGCCGCATAACAGAGTGAGCTCTTGTTACTTGTCCTAGCTTCTGCCAACCTAGCAGTTCAAAAGCACATATGCAACAACTAGCACATATGTGCGAGGAGAAGCTTTACCTTTATCTAAATTGAATGTGGAATGGCGTACTTATGTGTTCTGACCCCCCCTCCGTACAGTGAGTCACGCCGATACAAGATTACTGTTAGCCAATTTATTCACAGTAATTAACTCACAGACAAGACTTTGGCAGCAACCAAGACTTCCACAGATAAGAAATACACACAAGAGCGTCTCCAGCTTTAGTATAACGGTTGTGTCCTGCAAAAGGTCTCCTCCCAAAGTCTCTTCTTATATTCTCTCTTGGGAGGAACCTAATCACAACCACCTGGGCCCAATTATCTTCTATGTCTCTGTAATTGCTGCCAGCGCTTATCAGCCCGTCTCTGCCTGGCATCCGGGACCAACTCCCTTTGCTCCTCCTCACTGCTCCAGGGCCACATCTTCACCATTGCTCCAGGGCCTGACATTGGGGACAACCTCCCTTTGGTTTTCACTGCTGCTCCATGCCTCAGGCGCCTCCTGAAGACCAACCAGCCTCTCAGGTCCCTGTTCAGAGTCTTAACCCTTCCCTGCGTCTTCCACATCTTCCAGAGCCGACTCATAGGGACCCTCGCTATCGGAGTCTGTCAGTAGCTCCAACGGCTCCTGCTGGGCCACAACACTTATGTGCATAATGAAATGAGAAAACATAATGTCAAGAATAAATGGGTGCTGAATGAATGCGGAGTCAATACAAAAGTTGAGTAAGTGACCAGTATGAGAGAAACACACTGAAGGGATTAAGTCATATAAAGAGAAAGACTGAAGGTGGAATTGCATAGCAAACACATGAAGAAAAGTGAGGACGATTGAGGAAATTTTGATTGAGCATAGTTGATGAGTTCTCAAAAAGAAAAAGGTGAAAGGTTTAAAGAACAAAAGAAATTGGTATCTGGATGCAGAAGAAACAGACGATTTGCAAGGTTGAAGAAGAAAAGTATAATAAATGGTGCTTGTGGGAATTTTTCCCCATTTTTTATTTGTACTGATTTCTTTTTTCATGTGTGCTTTCTATAACGTTGTTTACCCAGAAAGACTATAGAGTGACGTGTTTGCATGTAGGTATTATTATCCTACATTATAGCATTATAGTTCAGCAGGATTATGATGATAATGTGATGACAAGAGCAACAACAGGGAGAGGAGTTATTCAGGGAAGCTGATTTCCTAATTTTTGTAGCAACTTTTTATTACTATGGTGTATTGTATTTTCTGTATAATCTAGAATTGGAATCTAATGTTATAAATAAACCTTTTAACTTAGGTGAAGATCCCCTTGCTGATGATCAAAATGAACGTGATATTAATTCTGTTGCTGGGGTCTTAAAATTATATTTCCGGGGACTGGAAAATCCACTCTTTCCTAAGGAAAGGTTTCAGGATTTGATATCTACTATAAGTAAGTAATTGAATTATGTCAATTTCTTGATTTTTGCATATTATTGTAATGGGGTGGTAAAGGTGCTTATGCGAAGTAAACCATAATTTATAGCAGGGGTGTCAAACTCAATTTCATTGAGGGATGCATTGGGGTTGTGTTTGACCTTGGGGGGCGTGGCCAGGGGGCATGGCCAGCTCAACGTCACTCATGTTGGGGGCACCTGTAGTAGCCTGAGCGCTCTGCCAGTGAAAACGGGCTCCCGAGCTCTGTTTTTGGCTGTGACAGCCTCCTGCAACCTCTGCCAGCAAAAACAGAGCTTGGGAGGACCACCTGTGGTCCTTGCAAGCTCCGTTTTCAGCTGTGATGGCCTCCTGCAAACTTCTGCCAGTGAAAACGGAGGTCGGGAGGACCACCTGCGGCCCGCCCAAACTCCGTTTTCACTGGCAGAGGCTCCGCAGGCCTTTGTTGTTTCCAAGGTGGCCCCAAGGGTCAGCTCTAAGCACTCCACGGGTTGGATCTGGCCTCTGGGCCTTGAGTTTGACACCCCTGATTTATAGCTTTGCGTTATTGCCAACCAATCTTCTATAGTTTATTGCATAAAAAGTGGTTATAAACATGGCTAAGAGTAATGTGCGGTGCGACAAAAAACCAATTTTATTACTAATGTAAGCTGAATCACTTGGCAGAATATTCTGTTATGTACATTGCAGGGTATTTGCATATCCATATTGCCATGTAATTTATAATTTATTGTGTGGTTGAGAATGAAGCTCCCCTTCCTATTTTCTTTATTATAAGCAAGAAGCTAAAATATCCTTTCAGTAGAAAAAAAAATTGTGGGAATTTTATAATACTTATACATACTTGAACTAATCTATAATCTCATTTAACTGTCCTCCACCTTGCAATTTATTTTTTACGATCCATTGGTTGTTTGGGGGAATCATCCTTATTAAAGAGGAACATTTTTCTTATCTTGCTCACTTTCTTTATCTTAATCCTGCACTGTTATTATCTAGTACTTTTTTTTAATGATAATGGTCACCCATGAGGTTTAAGGTTTGCACATTCTTCTTAATCCTTACTTCAGTTGTATACTGTATAGTGCATTCATTACTTAGAAGATCGTCAAGGAGATGTTGAAATTTTTTTGATCTGCTATATCATGGGTGTCAAACTTGCCATGTCACATTGCCGTCACATGACGTTTTGTGATGTTTTCCCCCTTCCCGGAGCTGGAATGGGCGTGGCCTGTGCATGACAGATCCAGCCCTTGGGCCGCCAGTAGATCATTTATTTTGTCAGCAATGTTCCTTGGTGACCTAATAGATGCCTTTGGTTGTGGATGGTCATGTGATGCAGCATTGAAGTAATGGTCTCCTTTCTATGGTTAAGATGTCCATGGTTGTGTTGGATCAATTGAGCATTCCATCCACTGCAGAATTAAAGAACCTGAAAGCAATATTAGGTTTTAAAATATACTAATCATAAGGGCAATACTATAAAATAAACCTGGAGAACATTAGCCTCCTGGCAAGATGCAACAGGCAATTTCCATAGAATTATTAAAGAGACAAAAGAAATGTATAAGCATACAAATAATTTAAATAGAGATGAAGGATCAACTGTTATCCTACTGCAGTTAGCAATTATTTGTGGCATTCTGCTTCACTGAACATAAGCAGTATATAAAGACATGACATCTATTATTGAATTCAGTATTAGATATACTCTGTAGAAGCTAACAATAAGGCTACTGAAACTTCAGTATATATTCATTGTCTCACAGGGCAATCTCATAAGTCATTTCACCAATCGCTTGCAACAGTGAAAACCTACCTGCTGTGATTAAATGACTGGATGGCTTTTATTCATTACAATTCCTGTCATACTTTCTGAATTTTTGCAAGTTCCTTACCTATGGAGATACTTAAGATTTATTCATGCATATTACAAAGAAGAAGAAAACAGAAATATTCCAAAAATTGGAATGGGTAGAAAAACCAAATCACCCCTCATTCCAAATTTGAAGGTTCTACTTCCACAAAAATACATTTTGAAATTGTGCAGATTCTTTGATTTATTTCTATGCTGTGTGCCATTTTTATAGTCCTGCTGATTAAATAAATTTTTAAAAAGCTCCTCTCCTGCTTCTAAAAACTCCATACACAAAGTACTAACATTTCTGTGTATAAGTGACTGAGCTTTGTAGACCTTACATCCTCTCTTGCTAAGTCCTATTAGGAAAATTTATACACAAATCTTGAAGAAATGATATATTATTCCCAAACCCTTGTTTACAAACAAGTAAATAAATTAAAAGAGAGAGGAATAAGTGCATTGTTATAAAAAAAAGTCTGGCTGAGGAATTCTGAGAATGAAGTCCATACATCTTATAGTTGCAGAGTGTGGGAAACACTGCTTTAAAATAAATCAAAACCTCAATATCTAAAAGCTGATTGTAAACAACAATTGTTGAACCAATTTATTTTGTATCTGGCAGGTGCAATTCCCTCAGATCAGGTGCTTTTAAGCCATTTTTTGTTGTAACATATTAATAGTAATAGCACTTAGACTTATTCAATTCACAATGCTTTACAGCCCTCTCTAAGCTGTTTACAGAGTAAATATATTGCCCCCAACAATCTGGGTCCTCATTTTACCAACCTTGGAAGGTTGAATCAACCTTGAGCCGGTGAGACTACTGAACTGCTGGCAGTTGGCAGTCAGCAGAATTAGCCTGCAATACTTCATTCTAATCACTGTGGCACCACAAGTCTTAAATAATAAAATAACCTCTGAAGGAACATTAGTCTGTAAATTATATCTACTATCCAGTAGTTTTGACATGACCATAATTGAGCTCAGAATTATAGTCATAAGTCACGTTGGTTATTAAGCAGGTCACCATTTGACTGCATAAGATTTTATGACTTTTTTTGCAGCAATGGTTAAGTAAACATCACAGCCATTAAGTATATCCATTGTCCACAATGGATGGTTTTCTTTGCCAGAAACAGGAAGTAAATGGCAATTTCTGACCCAAAAAACATTATAAATCATAATCATATGACTTGGGATGCTGCATATGGCCATAAAATCAGGCCGGTTGCTGAGCTTCTACAATCATGTGACCTAAAAGGGGAACATTGTGACTTAAAAAAGCCGAAGTGGCGCAGTGGTTAGAGTGCAGTACTGCAGCCACTTCAGCTGACTGTTATCTGCAGTTCAGTGGTTCAAATCTCACCAGCTCA